CCGGGGTGGGCGGGCGCCGGGGAGGGAGGCGGGAAGGCCCCCGCCGGGGCTCCGGATCCCCACCTGTAGGAGAGCGGTGGGATGGGTCTGGAGTCGGGCGGTGGCGAGAGGCGGGCCGAGCCCAGAGAGCCTTGGCGCAAAGGCTCGGCTTTTCCCTAGCGAGTCTCGTCCATCTGTCTCTCTTCACTGCGTCCATTCCTAGCTGGATTTTTAACCTTCGTTTGGCAAGTATTGCTCAATTTACATTGTAGGTAAATAAAGACACATCCTAGGCCCTGGGGAGATAGCAGTGAACAAAATAGATGTGGCCCCAAAGGGGCTGATATGAACGCAACATGGAAAACATGGTGAATAAAGGTAAACGGCCCCGAGGAAGATTAAGCAGGGAGGGGAGATAGCTAGAGTGAAGCGCAGACTTTGAATAGGGGTGTGGGTGGGGGGGAGGTGAAGGGGACCTCACTGGGAAAGCGGCCGGCCGTTGAGCAAAGGCAGGAGACTGAGGATGGGCCCTGCACGACCCACCTACCCACCGCAGGGAAACGGGGCTCTAAGTGCAGGCGAGGAGGCAGAGACCCAGGGAGGGGCAGTGGTTCGCCGGGGTGAAGGTCAGGCATTAAGGTCAGAGGCAGCAAGGGGCAGCCCCCTCCTTCATTCAAACAGCAGGTTCTGAGCACCACGCACCCCAGATTCCTGCAGGAATGGGGGTGCTGAGATGCCTCTGCCTGGCTCCAGAAGACCCCGCCTGAGAGAGGACTTGAGGACAAAGGGGAGCGTGAAGACCCACTCAGGGAGGTGACCAGGCTGGACACTGATGCCCAGGTTTCCTGTGGCGCTGGCCTTCCTGATGGGCTCTGGTCTGCTTGCTCTTTGAACCTTGTTACTAGGTATATTAAGATTGTTGTCTCCTTGATGACGTGACCCTGTGATTGTGAGGGGACCCCGTGTCCCGTGTCTGATGGTAAAGTCTCCTTACTTGGGGAGAGGGAGAGTCAGCACCGCTGTGCTGCGTAGTAGAGAGCCCACAGCTGTCTGACTTCTGGCACCCCAGAAACAGCAGCACACTGGACTTTGTCTTCAGTGTCCTCTGTGTCCACAGAATCCCCCCTCCCCTCCTTCCCCACACCTCCCGCCCCTGGTTTACCGTTTGATGATTGGCCTGGAACCTTCATCTCTTTCAACTCATTTTTTTTTGGAAGGCTGTGATCAATGATCATTAATAATGCAAAAGTTCTTTTTGTCTTGGTGCAAATCCCAGGCAAATAAATCACTGGCAAATAGACAGGAGTTATCGGCAGCCACACCTCGCCTCCGCTGCCCAGGCCCCCGGCTCTCTTCCCAAATAGGAAATAGGAAGATTGAGCCCTGCCAAATGTAGGCATTTCCCAAAATAGATACTGCTGTTGGTGCCCCAAGTTGAACACAAAGTGGGGAGGGGTCCTGCCTGCATTTGCAGTCGCTGTCAGGTCCCTCACACCCTAAAGTTGAGGAGAAATCAACATGTGTGTGTGTCCTCACTGCAAAGACTCTGCCAGCCCCAGGAGCAGCCTGAGCAGGGATGAGAGAGGGAGGGACAGTAAACCTGTGCAGCATGTCAGCGTGCTCCCATCAAGCGCCAGTCCTTTAGCAATACAAGCAGCCCAGGATGGGGAATGCCACTGGAAAGCGGGCGTGAGGAAAGGCGGGTGGCTGGAGAGGGTTCACCTGAGCCCAGGCCTTCACCCCAGCCCATCAGAGGTGTTAACTTTGTCCCCCACTCGGGAGTTCACAGACAATGCAGATAAGCCCAGCACCGAGCAGTGGGGGGAGGGAGAGAGTTAATGGGGGGCCTACAGTTCAGAGGGTGATGGGCAAGGCAGTCTGCACTGAACCTTAAGGGGCAGTAGGAGGTGCCTGATCCCAGAAGGGGGCTCAATCTTCCTATTTCCAGAGAGGTTCCCTGTTAGGAGTGACATGAGCAAGGGCTGAGGCTTTGGAGAGGATTCTGCTAGGGAAACTGCAGGTCTGCAGATCCGCCAGGGGAAGTGGGCCAG